GGGTGGACGCCATGCGCTCTGGTGAGACGGCCAAGGGTGCCACCTGCTGGTGAGCCCGAAGCATCGCAGGCAATGGGGCACGCGGTGTCCCCTGCCCTCCAGCTCCCACTCAGAGGGAGAAGGCCACTGTCCCCCAGTCAAACCCGGACGGCCTGGCCCATGTCTACTGGGACAGCCAGGAGAGGAGGTGGGGCGGCGAAGCCTGCCCCATGGGACAGACACCGTCGGGGAAGGGTGGTTGCATGTCCTTGTCACAAAGACCCCATGCTCAGCGAGACGGGGATGTGGCAAAGCCACCAGGTAAGCACCTGAGTTGGAGCAGGAGTGCAGGCTGTCCTGTTCCCCAGGACAGGTTTCTTCCGTCCGTCCCTCCCAGTCGTTCAGCAAGGCCACACGTCGGGGCTCAGGTGTCCTCAGTCCACAGGAGCTCAGTTCCCACCTCCCCGCTGTCCAAGGTCCTTTGTGACTTCTTCCCACCTGGGTCCATCCCAGAGTCACCCAGAGAAGGACACTCCCCTGGCCCCTGCTCAACACGGGACTCCCAACAAGTCCCTCTGTGACCCCCGCACCTGGGGATCAGACTCTCACTTTACCGATGCGGAAACTCAGGACTGGTGGCGAGACTCGGGGTAGAGCGCCTGCCAAGCAAGCGTGAGGCCCTGAGTTCGAACCTAGTACTGCCCCAAATAAATAAATAAATAAATAAATAAATAAATAAATAAATAAATAAAGACCTGTCATCCCAGCTACTCTGGAGGCAGAGATCAGGAGGATCACAGTTCGAAGTCAGCCTGGGCAAATAGTTGGAGAGACCCCATCTTGAAAAGCCCTTCACAAAACAGGGCTGGTGGAGTGGCTCAAGTGGTAGAGCGCCTAGCAAATTAGTGCCAGGTAGATCCTGGATCTCAGGCACTGTGTGTCATTGCTGACCCCATGCGCAGCGAGACGGGGATGTGGCAAAGCCACCAGGTAAGCACCTGAGTTGGAGCAGGAGTGCAGGACTGGGGTTTGCAAAGCAGGCGCTCTTCTGCTTGAGCCACGGCTCCAGTCCCTTTTACTTTAGTTATTTTTCAGATTGGGTTTTGCCAGTGGCCAACGTCAGACCACATCCTATTGCCACCTCCTTCGTAGGGATTACAGGCCTGAACCACCACACCCAGCTTGTTACTGAGATGGGGTCGGTCTCACTTTTTACGGGAGCTGACCTAGAAGCAGGATTCTTCCACTCAGCCTCCTGAGTCGCTGGGATTACAGGCGTGAGCCACCGGTACCTGGCCTTCTTTTATTTTTATTTTTCACAGTAGTGGGGATGGAACCCAGGGCCTTGCATATGCAAGGTAAGTGCTTTACCACCGAGCTACACCCCTCAGACATTTTGTTTTTTGAAACAGAGTCTCATTATGTAGACTAGGCTGCCCTCAAACTACCGATCCTCCTACCTCAACCTCCCAAATGCTGGGATTACAGTTGTACACCACATGCCCGGCTCCCCTTTGGTATGTGGTGTCTCAGGAGGAAAGGACCCTGTTGGCAGATCTTGGAGTTCCCAAGTGCTAGGAACTGGAAGGATGGAGACCATTCTATTCTGAGCAGTAGAAGCCCAGAGATCAGGTGCTGATTAAATCTCTCCCAGACCTGTCATGAGGGAGACTATGACTCTTCCATTTGGTTGCACCCCTCTGTCCTGGGCGGAGACCTCACCACCCTCAGCAGGCCTCCTTGCCTTAGCTTCGGGATGGGGTCAGCAGACAGGAGGGTGGGCAGGACAGGGAGAGGTGTGTGTCCCTTGGAATCCTTCCTTCCCAAGCCCCCTCTCCATGGCTGATTTTTTTCCTTGTGGTACTGGGGTTTGAACTCAGGGTCTACACCTTGAGCCACTCCACCAGCCCTTTTTGTGTTGTTGGGTAATTTCACGATAGTATCTTGTGAACTATTTGCCCAGGGCTGGCTTCAAACCACGATCCTCCTGATCGCTGCCTCCTGCGTAGCTGGGATTACAGGCATGAGCCACGGTGCCTGGTTCCACAACTGATTTTTCTCTGGTTCCAATAACAGCCCTTTTGCTTTGGCCTTTGTGGGTTCCCTTACCCCATCCATACCACGCAGTGTCTTTCTCATACTCCTTTGTGCTGGGACAATCTGCTGCCCCCTATGGGTCTCTCTGCACAAAGGCACGGGAATTACTGACTTACTCAACCCTTAACCTGTGGTGTCTGTCATATTTTTGTAATCCCAGCTACATGGGAGGCATAGGTAGGAGGGATCACAGTCTGGGCAAAAACATTTGAGACTTAGCTGGGTGCCGGTGGCTCATGCCTGGCAGAGATCAGGAGGATCGAGATTTGAAGCCCGCCTGGGTAAATAGTTCACAAGACCCTATCTCAAAATACTCCATCACAAAAATGGGCTGGCGGAGTGGCTCGAGTGGTAAAGCACCTGCCTATCAAGTGTGAGGCCCCGAGTTCAAATCCCAGCGCCACAAAAAAAAAAAAAACCACTATGAGACTTGGGGACCAATGTCCCCTGCAAGGCCCAGGAAGAGTCCAAAGCTTGCCCAAACTCATTTGCTCTGTGGAGGGCTTGCTGTTGGCACAGAGTGAACTTGCTACATGTTGTGTCACACCAAGCGCAAAGGCAGGTGTCTGGGTGTGACAAACAGCAAGGTTGGGGCTTTTCTGTCAAAGAATCTGCTCGGTAACCACTGCTGTTACGAATGTTGGTCTCACTCACTCGCTTCCCATACGCACGCTGGTTCTCATTCTGATAAACTAAAACAGTTGTTGCTTCCCTGAGCTTTTAAACTTCTGTGTCCTCAAAGCCCCTCCCGATGTCCCCTGTCCATTAGCCAACTGCGTAGACTGTGAACCCGAAACCTGCCCAATCCAGGGGAGGGGCAGCACTGCGTTAGAGACAAAACCCAGGTGGACTTCCCGACCGGTGTGCTTGCTCTTTGCCTGTGGTGCATCCTTCTTGCCTGTTGACTTCTGAGTTGTGTCGTCTCGTTCTCTTGACACCCCAATATCTTAAGGCTATTTCTAACCCTGGGGCAACCCTCCTGCTCTCTGTCTTGTTGTCTGCCTGTTCAGCTGAGGTCCCTCCTCTTGGACAGGGTATCTCAGCCCTGGGACTCCCTCCACTCCAGCCTCTCTGAGGCTACCCCATCAGCCACTCACACTCTAGTAGGAATTAGCCAGCAGCAGATGGTAGAGTTAGGACCAACTCCTGGCATCAGGGTGCCCAAAAGCTGGAAGCTACAGAGAGACATGGACAACCACAGAGGTCCTGCACCTCAGTCACAAACTTTATTGTCCAGAACACGGACTGGCCACACTTCCACAATTCCACTGGGGGGAGAGAAGGGAAAGGGCTTGGGAGGGGGCATGGCTGAGCTAAACATGGACAGCCACACCAGGCAGGTGAACAGACCCATGAAAGAGGTTCCTGGGAAATCGCTTCTCACACACCTGCCCAGGGCCAGCCTACCCTGCAGTGGGGCTCAGCCCCTGCCTGTCCCTGCCATGGGGCCTTTGGCTGTTAGTCACCTGTCAGTGCCTGCCCTGGCTGGGCAGAGCTGCTGGATTTTGCTGGAAGGAGCGGTGTTGCATTCTGGGTTAGGCCACTAAAGTGTCATTTCTAGGCTGCTGTTAATAAAACGCCATGCAGGCTACCAGAAGCCAGCAGGGCATGGGAAGGGGGCTGGTGGCTTGGTCACTGCCCCAAGGTGGCTGCATTTGGGGAACTCTGCCAGCTCCACCTGCTTGTCTGTACCTGGTGGTGCTCGCAGAGGCGGCCTGGGCCTATGACTTCGTACCTGTCCTGTGTATTCTGGGAGGGGACATCAGGCCTCTCCCCTCCACAGCCCCACAGCCCCAGGGGGAGCTGTGAGCCTGGGGGTGGGGGTGGGAAGCTGGGCTTGTAAGGAACACAGAGAACACGGTTCCATTCTTGTCTGGCTAAGTAGGGCTTCCAGAGTTCCGAGGGTGTCTTGGGCCTGGAAAGGGCATCGCTATGGGGTGTGGCACACACTCTCCCTGCACACTCAGCCATGAGTCTGCATGTGCCCAGCTCGGCTGCAGGAGGTTCGTGCTGTCTACAGGCACAGCCTGCCAGGCCCAGGAATCTGTGTGGCCCAAGTGTGACCAACTGCCAATGGCTTGTCCCCACGGTCACCTGCATACAGCTGTCCCTCTGAGTGTGTGTGTGAACTCAGGGCCTGCACAGGGGCACCTGTGGGTGAGGGTCCAGTTCTGAGAGCTCTAGCTAGCCAGGGGACACTACTACAGACCTTTGTCAGCGACACCCAGAGCAAGCACCCCTGTGATGGCCCCTGGCCCCAGCTCCTGGCCAGGCCTGGCCCAAGGTCACGATGGGGTGAGGAAAGGGACTTCTAAGCTTGCCTAATGTGGTGGCCTTGTCGGGTGCCTCTGGCCAGCTGTTGGCAGGTGAGCGTAAGTGTGTTTGTTGCTGGGGGATCAGGGAAGGAACCCGATCCCCAACTCCTTGGGGCTAGGTCCTCACCGGGCAGTGAACCCAAGGGGAACTTGTGCCACCGTGTGGAGACACGCAACACGTGGGGACCAGGAGCTCCTCCCTGGGGTCTGCCTTAGCCTGCAGGCGGCTGCACAAAAGGGGCCCCGCCTGGCTCCTGAAAAAGGGGTTTCCCTTCTCGGGGCCACGAGGCGGGGGGCTGGGCCCTGCTCCCCTCCTCGCAGGTCTGCAAGGGCCCAGGGGGAAGGGAAGGAAAGGGAGATGGGGATGGGGCCCTGGTACCCAGATCGGCCTCAGGGCGGCTTGCTCTGGGGACAGGGTCTCTCCAACAAGTTCCAGAAGCTGCTGCAGACCCAGCTGAGGGGCCTGGGGCCAGGCGGGCTGCGGGGCCCTCTGGAAAGCCATGTTTCGGGGAGCCTCCTGGTCCGGCAGGGGGCTTGGGTGGGCATTGTGCACAGCGGTGAGTAGGTTATTGTTACAAACACTGTCTGGTCTCCAGAGGGACAGTCCTGGCCCCTGCCTGGAAGGGGGCGCCACTGGGCAGACTGGCTGGGCTCTGTTGGGAACTGGGCCGCTCCATGGTGTCCCTCAGGGTCAGTGCCTGTCCTAGAAGAACAAGGTCAGAAGAGTCAGAAGAGTCTCCAAGAGCCTCAAGGAACAAGTAGACAGGGGCGGGTCAGGAAGGAAAGAGAGGAGAGCATGCTGGGTAGAGGGAGCAGCATGTGTCAAGGTCCTGGGGCAGGAAAAGTGTGGGTTTTACAAGGAGCCCTGAGCACCTGGGTGGAGGCTGGATCCCAGTGAATGTGAAGGGAAACCCAATGTCCCAGTGCACCAGGCTGCAGTTCCAGACATGACCAGAAGAGGGTGATGTCTTCACAACACTACCAGCTGGGGCTCCCAGGACCCCCAGAGCAAAGTCATCAAACTCCCAGGATGCCTTGGTGCACAGCGGCTGCTCTGCCAACCCGACCTGCCTGCCCCCGCCCTGCCACCTACCTTGCCTCTGCCCTGCCTGCAGGGACCCAGCTGAGTATTGTCACCCCCCCCCACACACAAAAAAAAAACCCAAAAAACCAAAAAACAAAAACCCAGGCCTGGCCCTTGTAGTCTGTGGCTAAGCCTCTGCCGCCCCAGTGAGTGGCTGTGATGGGGGCTGGGGAGAGGCTGGGGGACGCCAGTGTCACAGACAGAAGGATGGGGAACATGCAAGCTCCTTCCTATTCTGGCTTCACCTGCCCCGTCACACAGCGGGCCAGGGACAGAACCCGAGAGGTGGGCTGTCCCTGAGCAGTGGCTGCTCTAACACTGTGGCTGAGTGGTTAACTGTGGGGTACCACTGGCACCCCTCTTAGAAACAACGCTGACACACAAAGACATGAGCTGCAGTCCTCTTCTGATAGTCACAATCCTTCTGCCTTTACCTTCTGAGTACTGGGATTACAGACACCTGCCACTATACCCGGCTTGCTTACACTCTGTTGACATGATAGATAGGCTACCTTCACAGTGAAGATTGGTTCAGAGAAGGAGTCACCAGGGCTGGGGGCATGGCTCAAGTGGTAGAGTGCCTGCCTGGCAAGCACAAAGCCCTGAGTTCAAATCCCAGTGCCGCCAAAAAAAAAAAAAAAAAGGTAGGAGAAATACTGGATCACCTCTGGATCAGGTGAACTGCACTAGCTACGCCCTCCCTAGGGGACACACACACTGACCCAGGCACCTTACCTCCTGTTTCTGGGCTTTGTCTGGCTGGTGGATGCCGTTGGCAGAACCGGAATTGCTGATGGTCTGTGGGGTGGGGTGGGATGGAGAGGTGGGGCAGCCGAGCTGCAGTTCCAGACACAACCAGTAGGTGGCGATGTCTTCCCAATGCCACCAGCTGGGGCTCCCAGGCCCCCCAGAACCAGCCCCATCTCCCCTCTGGGTCTGAGAACCTCCGGATGTCATGTCCTGCCCGGGCAGGGCTGTCTCCCCCTTCAGACTGGGGTCAGCCCCTCTCCAGACCGAGCTCTGAGGTCCCCCCCTGGGCTCTGCGGTCCCCTGCATGGCTGTGCTCACCTGGGCCTTGTCAGGCCAGCTCCTCATGGCCTCCACGAGCTTGTCCACCTGCTGGGCCTGGTCCAGCGCGGCCCGCAGCGCCTCCTCGGTGCTCGCCAGCTGGTGCTGCAGTCGCAGCAGCTCGGGGGCCGAGCCGGGGTCGATGAGGGAGAACCGTCTCTGCTCAGACACAGTCTTGTCCTTGTCCTGTGGACCGTGGGCGGGGCGTCGCACTGTGAGCACTGTGACATCTGAGCCCTCGTCCCCCTCACCCCCAGCCTGTGGGACCCCGACCCAGATTCCTTCAAGTGTTCCCTCCCCTCCCACCAGGACATCCACACCCTCCATGTCGCCCGCCCGGCCACTGTGGCTCCCGGAGGTGCATCTGCCACCGGCTGGACTCCTCCATCCTGTCCCACCCGGGCCTTCGCCCGGCTCTGAGCCTCCATCCTGTCCTCCTTGTCCTCCCTCAGGTGGCTTTCGGCACCTCTGCCGTGGCTCTGGGCACAGTGCAGATGACAGGTCACTGTCCTGACTTGGGGGTGGACCCAGATCCAAAGGACACAGCACCTGCCTGGGACCCAGGACTGCCCACCCTGCATGGTTCAGGCACAGCCTTGGGGGACCCGTTTCCAGCAGCCTGTCTCCTGTGTCACAGAGCCACACAGACCACAAGGGAGCTGGACCTGCATCCTTCTATCTCTGTCACAGTGTGGCAGAGCCCCGATGGCTGGCAGGAGGGCAGAGGGTCTGTGTGGCAGGCCACCAGACAAGACGCTGTCATCCCATGCCCACAGACATGTCCCGAGTGCTGGCTCTGTCCTGTGCTGCAGTGTCACCGCCTGCCTGACCCCTACTGGTGGGAGACTCAGCCCTGAGTCAGGTCCCCATTTTTTTTTTTTTTTTGCGGTACTGGGGTTTGAACTCAGGGCTACACCTTAAGCCACTCCACCAGCCCTGTTTGGTGATGGTTTTTTTGAGATAGGGTCTCTCGAACTATTTTGCCCAGGCTGGCTTTGAACCTCCATCCTCCTGATCTCTGCCTCCTGAGTAGCTGGGATTATAGGCGTGAGCCACTGATGCCCAGCTGGGTCCCTGGTTTTAAGGAAGAGCCTGGGGCTGGGGGGCTTTTGCTCCAGGTCACCTTCCTGAAGGACCCACCACAATCTCAGGATATCTGTGCTCCTCACTGTGACTTGGCCACCCGGCCCCGCCCTGGTTGGCACCCACGGCCCCTGCGTACCAGCCCGGTCAGCTTCTCACGCAGGCCCCGGATGTCCTCCTTCAGTTTCTGCTCCTTGATCCTCCACTCAGCCTTGTGCACTTCCCGACTCAGGTCCCTCTCAGGCCCCGGGGAGTGACGATTGGCTTCCAGAAGCAACACCCGTAGCTCGTTCAGACTCCTGGACACAGAGCAGCGGCATCAGCCCTGACCGAGTCCGCCACCCAGCGGCTGTGCCATCGGGGTCTCAGCAGAAGGTGTGACACGACAGCTTTGACCACTGCCCAAGAACAGCCAGAGTTTGGGCCTGGGATGGTCAAAAGGACTTGACTGTCACTAGTAGAATGTTTTTAAGGTGTATTTCCTTTTTGTGCTGGCACTGGGGTTTGAACTCAGGGCCTTGCACTCGCTAGGCAGGTGATCTACCGCTTGAACCACTCCGCCAGCCCTAATATATTTTTTTCAACTGTGGCTGGCCTCAAGCTGTGATTCTCCCATCTCCACCTCTTGAACAGTTGGGATTACAGGTGTATGTCACCACACCTGGCCTTTTTTGAGGTTTTCTTTAGAATAAAGGCTGGTGGAGTGGTTCAAGTGGTAGAGAGCCCGCCTAGCAAGCGTGAGGCCCTGAGTTCAAACCCCAGTGCTGCCAAATAAACAAAACAAAACTCCAATGAGTTCCACTGGAACTCAGAGCCAGGGGCACCTCTGCGGCCAGAGGCCCATCGGGAAGGAGTCTTTGAAGACTGCAGGCTGGGCTGAACACAGGATAAAATGTCCTCTTGGGACAGGAGGGGGCGGTGGTGATGGTGCCGCAGCCCCTGCAGAGGGCGCTGTGTCCTGTTTTCCTCTTCCTGGGCGGCCACAGGACTTAGAGCAAATCCCAGTCTGTACAGGGAACTTGCGGGGGGGGGGGGGGGGGGGGAGCGGGGAGCCAGCAAAGAAAAGTGCCCGGATGTTGTTGGGAGGGATGCCTGTAACTCCAGGAGTTTCCAGGTCAAGGTCAAGTTCACCTGAGCCAAGTGTCGCAGGTCTTCCATTTTTTTTCTTTTTTCTTTCATGGAATTCCCTAACGTATCCCAGGCTGGCCTCCAACTCTCCATCGTCTTGCTTCAGTCTCTCAAGGGCTGGGATTACAGGCGTGTACCACCACTCCCAGTTTTAATTGCAAGGATTTTCATGTAGAAGGTACAAAAACCCAGCTGTGTTTGATTAATCTCAACATCCAACGCATTCGCAAAAATGCAAAATGATGCCGCTCTCATCACTAAACAGATTTTGTTTTGAAAACATTCAGATTTACCAAAAGCATGTTATTTATATCTTTAAATCTGTCAGTTTAATTTTTTTTTTTTTGCAGTACTTGGGCTTGAACTCAGGGCCTACACCTTGAGCCACTCCACCAGCCCTGTTCTGTGATGAGTTTTTTGAGATCGGGTCTCCTGAACTATTTGCCTGGCCTGGCTTTGAACCGTGATACTCCTGATCTCTGCCTCCTGAGTAGCTGGGATGACAGGTGTGAGCTACTGGCACCCGGCAAAATTTTCAGTTTTAATTTTTAACGTAGCAAATAAATAAACAAAAATGGATCCGGGTGTGGTGGCTCACGCCTGTCATCCCAGCTACTCAGTAAGCTGAGATCCGAAGGACCCTGGTTCCAGGACAGCCCAGGCACAAAAGTTCTTGAGACCCCATCTCAATGGGAGAGAAAAATCTGGGCATGGTGGCACACATCTATCGCTCCAGCTGTTGAGAGAAACTTAAAATAGTAAGATGGAAGTTTGGCCAAAAGTTTTGGAGACCCTGTCTCCAAAATAACCAGAGCAAATATGGCTGGAGGAGTGGTTCAAATGGAGGCCCTGAGTTTAACAAAAAAAAAAAACCCTAAAAAACAAGCAAAACTAAAAAACACCCCATACTCCCTGGGGAAACGCAATCATTTTTAAAGAGGCCCCTAAGACCAACGGCCGGGGATGCACTCATCTTTCCTGCGAGCTGTTTGGAGAAGTGTGTTAAGAAGGATTCTGAGGATTCATCTGTGTTTGAAAGAGGGCAGAATGGCAATGGTTGAGGGGTCCAGCCACCTGTCCCGAGGTCACTCCCTCCCGCCCGGCCCCTAGAGAAGCCTGGCTGACGTCTGGTCAGGTGGAGGGAGGGACAGGCCAGGGACGGTAGCCTTGGGCAGGACCGTGGGCCAGCACTGCACTCACCGCTCCTTCCGTAGCAGCTCCTGGCTGATGAGAACCAGCTGGCCTGAGGCGTCATGGGTCCTGCAGGTCAGCTCAGCCTCCAGACGTCGCTTGTCCTTCAAGAGGGCGTCTGTCCTCTTCTCTCCGGCCTTGCACTTGGTCTCCAGCGCTGGTGAAGGTCACAGGGAAGGAGAGGTTGAGAGACCACCAAGCCCTGACCCGGAAGGAGCCTGGGGTCCAATGACCTCTGTCAGGACCATCAGGGATGTGACGTGACAGGAACTGAGCGGAAGAGCGGGTGGGGATTATACCCAGGAGGGGGACACTGCCACTGGCATTTTGTTGAACAAGAACCAGGGCTGAGTCTGGGGCCGGTGCTCACGCCTGTAATCCCAGCTACTCAGGAGGAGAGATCAGGAGGATCATGGTTCAAAGCCAGCCTGGCAAACAGTTCACAAGACCCTCACAAAAAACCATCACAACAAGGGCTGGTGGAGTGGCTCAAGTGGTAGAGCACCTGCCTAGCAAACATGAGGCCCTGAGTTCAAACCCCAGTACCACCAGAAACCAGCGTCAACCCACCCCGCGGTGCACAGGGACCTGCATGGCCAAGGTGACAGCCCCGTGTCTGCCCTGCAGGACGGAGACTTACCACTTACTTGGGCCCTAAGCGTCTCGGTCTGAGATGTCAACGCCGTCACCTCTTTGTCCCTCTTGTTCAGTTTGTCCTGTAGGCCTAGGGAGAGGAGGGAAGTCATTGATGCTGAGGCCAACGGCGTGTGATCTCGAGCAGCTGGGATTACAGGCACGCAACACCAGGCCCAGCTACTCAAGTTAACGCCTAAATTTTCTGTTAAGCCAACGAAAACACCCGGATTGTTATTTTCGGGAACCAGGTGAGCTGAGTCTAAAGTCACTGGGCCAGTGGCAGCGGTGGCCTCCTGCAGGACACCGGGAGCTGAAGGGTCCTGATCCCTCCTCTCTCTCACTCATCTGAGGAAAGGGAGCTGATGCCGCGCTGTCCCAAGAGCTGGGTGCTTGTCACTCCGTCCTCCATGGAGAGTGAGGTCGTGACAGTGGTGGCCATGCCAGGCCTGTCTGCCGAGCAGCGCAGGGGCCCGGAGTCATCTACTGCCCTCAAGTTCACTTCTGAATTTGTGTTTCTTTTTAGTGGAACTAGAGTTTGAACTCAGGGCCTCATGCTCGCTAGGTCCCCACCCCAGCCCCTTTCACTTTGGCTATTTTTCAGACAAGGTTTTGCTTTGGCCTGGGATGGCCCAAACCGAGATCCTATTTGTTCTTTCCTGTGTTGCTGGGGTAACAGGGGTGAGAACCCGGTGCCCAGCTATTGATTGAGATGGGGTCTCAATGAACTGCTTTCTTGGCCTGGCCTGGAGCAATCCTCCAACTCTCAGCCTACAAGTAGCTGGGATTACAGGTGCCCGGCCCTGTTTTGCATTTTAGTTATTTTCTGGAGAGGGATTCACTTTTGCCTGGGCTGGCCTCCGTGAACCCTGATCCTCCTACCACAGCCTCCCACATAGCTGGGATTACAGACGCCAGTCACCATGCCCAGCCTGTTTGTTGAGGTGGGGTCTTGCTCACTTTTTTGGCTGGCTTTGACCTGTGATCCTCCCAATCTCCAACTCCCGAGTAGCTGGGATTACAGGTGTACACCACCATGTCCAGATAATCAAGTTAATTACTAAGTTTAATGTTAAACCACTAAAAATCCCAAGATAATTAATTTTGTGAACTAGGTGAGTAGATGCTAAAGTCATTTGGCAAAATAAGCAAGAATAGGCAAGAAAATCTGACAGATCCTCAAAAAATAAGCACAGGACTAGCAAGTGACCTAGTAACCCACTCCTGCCTGCAAATACACCCCAGAGAAAGGCAGGCAGGGACTCAAAAGGAACATACATGCCCGTGATCACAGCAGAACCCGTCACAAAAGCCCAGAACAGGAGCCAGAACTCAGTGTCCATCACCAGGTAAACAGATAAATGGGAAGTGGTACACTCCAGACAATGGAATATTATTTACCCATGAAAAGGAGTAAAGTGCTGGGCTGGGCACGAAGTGCTGTGGTTGCACGAGGCGTGGGGTTATTTCCCTAGCATCGTAAAAAAGAAAAAGAAAAGGAACTGAAGCACTGGTAGATGAACCTACACACTGCGCCAAGTAACGTGATGGTGCACGCCTGTAATCCCAGCTACTTAGGAAGTAGAGATCAGGGAGATCGAGGCCCAGACAAAAAAGTTGTCAGGACCCCATCTCAACCAATAAACTGGGTGCAATGGTGCACGGCTGTGACCCCAGCAATGCGGACGCAGAGGTAGGAGGCCGTGGTCCCAGGCCAGCCCAGGAAGACAGCTCAGTCTTATCTGAAAAATAAGTGAAGCAAAAAGGGCTGGAGGAGGGGTCAGAGGTGGACAAGGCCCTGAGTTCAAATCCTAGTGCTGCCAAAAAAAAATTATCAATGCAAGACACCCGCCTCCTTCCAGGTTGAGTGGTGTGGGCACCTGGAGGGGAGCCAGCTCTCTGCACAGCCGGTGGCTCCTGACGAGCGGGGGACGACGTCCCATAAACTGTGACCCTGCTGGAAGCAGGAGCCAGCCAGCTTTTCCCGAGGCCCAGGTCCCTCCCGGCCCAGCCACTCACCCTCCAGGGCCTCCTTCATGCTGTCCTCTGAAAGGTCACCGGCCTCGATCATCTGCAAGGAAATGTCCTGTAAGCGGGACACCCCTGTCCCTGGCTGTCGGCCACCGTCGTCCTACACGGTGGCTTGAACTGGGGCCGGGCACCGACATCCCCAGTTCCACTTCCCTGGTAACAGAGACGCCCCCCGCTTGTGCATGACTATCTGGGATCCGCCTTTGTCAAAACACTTATTAGATCCAGCTGTTCCCTTCCCCGGCTCTTTGCCATCCAGAAAATAAGCCTGGACTGCTAAGAGGCAGGACATACATGACCTGCCCAGAAGGACTTCAAAAAATGCCAGTGCCAGCCAGAGCCCAGTGGCTCACGCCTGTAATCCCAGCTAGTGGGGAGGCAGAGATCGGGAGGATCAAGGTTAGAGGCTAGCCCAGGCAAATGGCTCAAGAGACCCCCATCTCCAAAACAACCAGAGCAAAATGGACTGGAGGTGTGGCTCAAGCAGTAGAGCACCTGCTTTGCAAGTGAGAAGCCCTGAGTTCAAATCCCAGTCCTATATAAAAAAGTGCCACCCTCATAACATCTGTTTAATAACAAGCCCAAGAAGAAAAAATCAATTTAAGAAAAACTGAGCCAAAGGAAAAAAAAAATTGAGCCAGGCATGATGGCGCTCACCTGTAGTCCCAGCATGTGAGAGGCTGAGAAGGAGCCAACCCTGGCCGCAATAGTGAGACCTGGTGTGAGCCTCCTTGGTGGAGGCTTCTAGCCCGGCCTGGCTGATTGTCCTTTGAGCTCACAAGGTTTTGCCAGTTTACTCTGTGAATCAGAGCAACACAGGGCTGGTCGGGCAATCCCCTCCACCATCCTGTCCTTCGTACTTCTGGTCATTGGTCCCAAATCCCATTTTATTCTTAGATGTGATTAATTAACTAAGTCACCTTAGTCTTGAACACTGCAGTAAAGATGAGACACACTAAAAAATAATTCTAACATAGGGACCACACGAAGGCCCAAGTCTGTGAGCGAAAGCCAGACGTGACCTTCCTGAGTTTAAGACTCGCTTCTTGGACCGGGAGCACCTCTGATTAAGGGCTGGGACCATTCGCAGGCCTCTGTCCCCGAGCTGTGAGGAACTAAGCAGCCTGAACCTTCCCAGTAGGGGAATGGTCCTGGGTTGTGACTCCCACCTGCCCTGCAGGTCCAATCAGCTAAGCGGGGTCTCCTCGTCCTCGTCCTCCCAGAGGCCTGGGAGAAATTCCTACAAATGAGGCCAGAAGACCAGTGCAGGGACCTCCGGGTGTGTGACACAGGCAGACCTGTTACAAACAGGCACCCCAGATGCAGGTCTGCAGCCGACCAGTGACCTGGTGCTAAGTTCGAGACCTGGAAGTTCAGGAAACCCCGGGGGTTGGGGTCTTGAATAAGGGGGACAGCCCTGCCATCACTGTCCTCCTATCTGGGTTGCCATACCTCCTGGCCACCTCTGTCACCAGGCAGGCTGCTGCATGTGTCTGGGCGTCTGCTCACTGTGAGATGGAGCCATAATGGACGTGCATGGAGTGCTGGGGAGGTGGGGTGGTGACACAGGGATGGCCCAAGTGTGCCCAGTGCCACTAGAAAGGCCTGTGCTGGCCGCGCTGGAACACAGTCCTCCCCGCTCCTGGGTGTTGTCAGCCACCTTGGGGAGCCGGGAGGAATGTGCTCAGACCAATGGGGAGCGGCCAGACATACGGGAACTTTGGTGTGTGTGTGTGTGTGGTACTGGATTTGAACTCAGGACTTACACCTGGAGCCACTGCACCAGCCCTTTTTTTGTGAAGGGTTTTTTTGAGATAGGGTCTCACAAACTATTTGCCCAGGCTGGCTTTGAACCACCATCCTCCTGATCTCTGCCTCCTGAGTAGCTGGGATTACAGGCGTGAGCCACCGGCGCCTGGCCACCTCGGTCCCTTTTTATTTTATGGTGCCAGGGCCTTGAACGTGCTAGGCAAGCGCTCTACCACTGAGCTGTACCCCAGCGTCTCACCACCCTTGTGATGGAGAGAGACGGGGAGACGGTGGCTCCTCCTTTGGGCCAAGTGCCCCGATCTCCTGTCTTGGGGTGCTTTGATGCAAGCACAAGCTTCCCAGGCCAGGCCAGGCCGGCACACAGAGCCCCCCGCCCCCCGCAGGGGCAGCGCTGCCTACGTGGGACTGCTGGGCCGAGCACAGGGCCTCGACCGCCTGGAGTCTGTTCTCGGCCACCAGGAGCTTCTCCCGCAGCCTCTCGGCCTCCGCCTTGCTCTGGGCCTCCGCCCGCTGAAGCAGCTCATGGTCCAGCATCTTCTTCTCGGCCAGGGAGATCTGCTGCTTGAGGAACTCAATGGCCTGGGCCTGGCCGCGGTACTCCACGTCCAGGCCCTCCAGTTCCTGCACACGCAGGTGGGCATCTCTGCAGCGATCCTGGGCCTCCTGCAGCTCCAGCCGGTGCTGGGCGGCCTGGGCCTCCAGCTGGGCCTGCCAGTGCTGTCGCAGTGTGGCCAGCTCGTCCTGGGCCTCCTGAAGCTTCTGCCGCAGACCTTCCTTCTCCTTGACGTGCACGGCGGTCTCCAGGTCGTGCTTGGCACGGAGGTTGCCCAGTTCCAACTGATGCTCCATCTTGATGCCCTCCATCCCCGCCTTCAGCTCTCCGATCTCCTGCTGGGCACCCGAGCCCGAGTTCAGCGTGGCCTTGAGGTCCTCCAGGGACTTCTGATGGTCCGAGGCCAGCGAGTCTAGCTTGGACTTCCAGTTGTCCATCAGCCCCATGTTCTCGCTGGTGGCCTGCTGCACCTTGGCCTTGAGGTCGGCCACCTCCTGTGCGTACCTGTCGTTGGCCGCACGCAGCTTCTCCACCTCGGCCTGGTAGGCCTTCAGCGCCTTCTCGTACTTGTCCCTCAGTGTGCTGGTCTCCTGTTGCTGCTCCTTGCTGGCGGACAGCAGGCGCTCACGGAGACGCAGGGTCTCGGCAGCCTCCGGGTGGTCAGGAGGCGGTGGTCCTGAGTGCAGCAGGCACTGCTGGAGCTCCTGGATCTCACCGCGTCGCAGACTCAGCTCCTCCTCCAGCTGCAGGACTCGGGACTTCTCGGCCACTGTGGTCAGCTGGGGGAGAGGGAGCGGGGGTCAATGGCCGACTGGAGGGCAGGGGACATACAGATCCAACCGGGGAAGGGCGCCCACTCCCACCTGGGTGCTGGCTGTGCTGCAGGCCAGTGACGGAAGGAAGCCTCCTGTCCCCACAAGCTCTTAGGTGGCCTGGGACAAATCGGTGGGCTAAAGAAACCACCTATCTGAGTTCACATCTCTCTAGAAATACCTGTTAATTTATTTATTGCTGTGGCACTGGGGTTGGACGCAGGGTCTTGAACTTGCTAGCCAGGTGCTCTGCACTGGAGCCACACCTCCAGCCCTTTTTGCTTTCAGTGTTTTTTTTTCAGGCCTTTCAGCTTTTACCCAAGGCCTCAGACTTGGGTAGGAGATCCTCCTACCTCCTACTCCCAAGTAGCTGGGATTACAAGCACGCACCACTGTGCCTGGTCAAGCTGATGTTATTTTCAAAGGGCAGAGGCCAAAGCGACTTTTGCTCTAGAGAGGCCCCAGCCTGAATGGCTGATTCAGCCCAGAGGGGGTTGAGCCACAGGGTTGGGTCTCAGACCTCCACAAAACAGAATTAATGTTCCTAAACTGTCAGGGGGCCCGCAGAGTGGCTCAAGTGGTACAGCCCTGCCTAGCAAGTGTGAGGCCCTGAGTTCAAATCCCAGTGCCACCAAAAAAGAAAAAAAAAAAACCCACTAAACTGTCAGTTTTCCTTTTCCAAAAACCCACCTTGATGAGCTTGACAGTCAAAGAACCGTATATTTAAAGCGTTTTTTTTTTTTTGATGGGGAGGATACTGGGGTTTGAACTCAGGGCTTCACACCCCCAGTGTTCAATAATTCTTTCCTTTCTTCCTTCCTTCCTTCCTCCCTACTTCCCTCCCTCCCTTCTTCCTCCCTTCCTCCCTCCCTCCCTCCTTCCTTCCTTCTTCCTTCTTCCTTCCTTTGTACTGGGGATGGAACTTGGTACCTTGAGTGCTGGGCAACCACTTTACCACTGAGCTACATACTTGGGCTTTTTGTTTTCTATTTTGAGACAGAGTCTCACTCTGTAGCTTAGACTGGACTCAAACTCGCAATCTTCCTGTCTCAGCCTCCTGAATGCTGGGCTGCCAGGTGTGTGCACCTGTTGAACCTTAGGTCGACCAAGGTTTCTGCTCGGAGGGTTCCAACTCTTCCACCGAGACTGGGTGAGCTTCTGCACGCAGCCTTTGTGCACACACACACACCCCGTGTGCGCCATCCAGGCAATGCCAGTGTGCAAACAGACCCCACATCTCCTGATATCCACTCGTGGACCATGGCTGCTGTGCGGAGACCGACCCCTGCTCGCCCAACCTTCCCACTCTCTACAGGGGGGTCTTTCTTGATGGTTGTCACTGCCTGGCCAGCCCCTCTGGGAGAACCACTGCTGGGCTGTCCCCCAGGCTGGCCAGCTAGGTCTGGAGTGTGGGTCACAGATTGTCCCTGGATCTCGCTTTCAAGTACGGCTTCTCTGACCTGTTCATCACTACAGCCAGACCCTGGGGTTATTACAGTCCCATTCCCTGGGGACACTTGCTCTCCCCAAAGCCCCACTACTTCCTGAGCCCAGCCCCCCCCCCGTCCACCTCCAGGCTGGCCCCTCTTGACACTTTGTGTAAGGTCCCTGGATCTGTAACTCCCAACCTCCCGCCCTTTGTAGCCTCCTCAGTGGGGAGAGAGATGGACAGTGAAGGCCACTGGATCAGTTCAAAGCCCTGAGGTGGCAATGTGCAGGACAGGAGGCAGGGGAAGGGCTCAGCTAAGGGACATGAGCTGGGGAGCCGTGTCCCAGAGAGAACCAAGACCCCCTCCCCTCCCCCAGCGAGCCATCACTTGGTCATTCTCCCTAAGGTCGTATCAGATTTTCCCTTTTCCCTCCAGAAGGGAGCACACAAGAAGAAATGCAACAGTGACAGTGGCCAAAGGCAGAGTAAATAAAAACAGAGAATCGCGAAAGGGGTCCGGCCAGGTGGGCGGGTGGGCGGCCAGGTGGGCAGGGGGCGTGTTACCCTGTTGTCCGCTAATTCTCTGAGCAGCCGCTCAGCTTGTGCCTTCTCCAGTAGCAGGCTCTGCTCCAGTTCCCCAATCCTGGCGTGCTCCAGCTGAGTCTGGGTCTGCTCCACCCGGGGCGGGGGGCAGGGTGTGGGGAGGGGGGGCACAGGGAAGAGGAAGCCAGAGAGAGAAAGAGAAGAAGAGAAACAGAGGAGGTGTCATCGTCTATGAACAGAGACAGGGAGAGTAGGGCAATGAGCCAAAATGGCTTAGGGAAAAAGCCGGGGGTTCTGGATCACGCTGGACCTGATGCCCACCCCTCCCCGTGGCCTGGCTGGCTGGGTGCAAGGGAGGGGAGCTGTGGCAACCCTTCCTCACTGGTCCCTGGCGGGTGGAAACAGGCACCCCACTCCTTCCTGCCTGGTTTTTTCAAGATAGGGTCTGGGAGAACTATTTGCCCAGGGCTGGCTTTGAACCATGATCCTCCTGATCTCTGCCTCCCGAGTAGCTGGGATTTCAGGTGCAAGATTTTTAGAAAAGAATCCTGTGCTGTCTCCATTCTCTCGGTCTGGCCTCCGTGGTGGAGGCTGGGATGTGACTCCCACCGCTGTGCCCTGAGCCTGGCTCTGTTGCTGGCCACCCCATCCCCCTGGGCCCCGTGGAGGACGCCCAGTTGCCAGAAAAATACAAGAACACTTTTGTTCCAGTTTCACAACCCTCACTTCATGCACCAACAAAGCCGACATTCTCACGGTGGCATTTGACTTGCCCGTGATAAATCAGGGTGGGGAAAAGCGCCCCACTGCATCCTCCACCCTGGGAGCTAGGCTGCAAACCAGGCTCATTTTCAGGAGAGGCAGGAAGAGCTCCCCATCCTACAGGAGAGAGGCTGAAAGAAACCAGTTCTGAAAGAGCTCAGCAAACCAACTGTGTAAAACCTGTTGTGCCCTCAGGAAATTAATACAGTAACCATTGAGAAGCCGGTCCAAGGCTGACGGGTAAACTGAGACCAGTCACTGAGAAACAGCCTTTCCTTCCTACCCACGGATCCGACATCCTCAGACTCCATCACCCACAGATGGAAAATGTTTTTAAAAATTTTGACTATTCTGAACACACGCAGCTATTTTCCTTGTCGTTATTCCCTAAAGGATACAGCGTCACAGCTATTTACTTGCCATCTACATCAAATCAGGTATTTTAAATCACCTAGAGATGATTTAAAGAATAAGGGAAAGCCGGGTCTGGTGGCACACCACTGTAATCCCAGCACTCGGGAGGCTGAGGCAGGAGGACCATGAGTTTTAGGCCGGCCTGGGCTACATGGTGAGACCCTATCCCAAAACAAACACAGAAACAAACAAACAAAAGACTTTGGCCAAATGAAGTCTGGGATTTGAAAGGGAGTACATATAGCAAGATTCGCCCAGCACTGACAATCACTGAAGCTGGGAAGGGTGCATGGAATTTCACAATTCTGTCCTCTCCGCTGTTACAAAGGACTCAAATTTCCAACCTTAAAAATCAAAAAAGAAATTTTAAAAAGCTGATTCCAGCTTCAGTGTGGAGGACACATTAAAAAGCAAAGAGGAAGAGAAGGGGTCAGGTGGGGGCTGGGTTGTCGTCTGAGGCAAGGTGCTGGAGCTGGGAGGGGGAGGCCTCGGTCACGAGGTTTTTTTTTTTGCAAGGATGAGAGAAACAGAGGATTCCAGATAAAGTCTAGCTGCGAGGCCTGGGCAGCTGTGTGGATAGTGGGGTCAGTTTCTGAGATGAAAAGGGTAAGAAGGTGATGTCGGGCAAGACAGGGAGAGAAGGGCAAGAAACTAGGAGATGTGATTTATCTGGACCATGGCATTTGGGGTGCTGCACTGGACCCAGAAGCAAGGGATGGTGGTTCACACCTGTAATTCCGGCACTCAGGAGGCTAAGGTGGAAAGATCGAAGGTTCTAGGCTAGCGTGGGCTACATAGCCAGATCAGGGCAGAGAGAGAGAGAGAGAGAGAGAGAGAGAGAGATGAATCCTAAATTTCATGCCTACCCAGAATTTAAGAATGGAACCATTTAGAACAAGGTCTCTGCTCGTGCCTGTAGCTAAGATGAGGTCATTCTGGACTAGACTGGCCCTAAATCTCATGACTGGCATCGTCATAAGGCAGCCATGTGAGCAGACAGAGGGAAAACCGTCAAGGGATAAAGGCAGAGGCTGGCGTGAGGCCATGACAAGTCAGGCACATGAAGGGTGGCCAGCAACAGAACCAGAAGTGAGGAGAGAGGTCTGGAGCCATGCTGCCTCCCAGCTCCAAAGGGATTCGAATGGGGCAGTTAAGATGGCTGTCGGAGGGCAGGAGGGGAAACTGTCTTCATGAGTGAGTAACTGAAAATATGAGGGGTGGGACACATAGAGAGATGGGGGTGACATCTCTCTATGTGCCACCCAAGGGTTCCAAGGGGCCAAGGAGATAAGGGAGGGGTTCTAGTTTTTAATTGACTTTTAAGATGGGCAGGGATAAAAGCCAGGTGTGGTGGTACATGCCTGTAATCCCAGCACTGAGAAGGCTGAGACAGAAGGATGGAGAGTTCCAAGGCCAGCCTGGGCTTTGTTGCAAAATCCTGTCTCTAAATAAATAAACAAACAGATAAACATGTAAATGAATGAGTAAAAATAGGTTGGTGGAGATGAGTGGGGTTTTTGGTGGCTTTGACTATAAAAAGTCAAAAGCAGGACTTTATAGCCCTCCTGGATGAACTGCCTATCACTGTCTGTCCCGCCCCCTGACAAACATGATTGGATGTGGGGTAGATGCCGGAACTGAAGGCAGCCAGCCCATTGGCCAGCCTGTGACCAATCAAATTCGCTTGTGAGGATAACTGAGAAGAGACGGGATGGAGCCCAGTGCAGATGCGCTAAGAGGCTAGGACACAGAGACGGACAGGCGGACAGGAAGTCTGTCCTGGAGTCATAGAGAAGAGGGACACCCCCGAGCGAGGGCCAGGCGGGCTTGGCTTCTGACGCCATTTCTGGTTCCAGTTCCCTGATTCCCGGCCCTGGGGAGCTGAAGTTCCCGCCACGCTGTGCCCAGACATCATCCCTTCAACTCAGAAGCAGCCGACAGTGACCTTCGCCAGACACGTGTGTTGTCCCCCCTCCAGCCAGGGTCATCTAGGGACCTTCCCGGGATCACAAGCTGTGACTTCTGAGCTGGACTCAGGAATGATCTCCTGAGGCGATTCCCAGGGTGTCCTCCAGATGGCGCCCTTGGACCCCTGTCGAATGCTGAAGCTGGGTCCCACCGGTCCAGCGGAAAAGCCCTCCATGTGCGAGCCAGAGGTCAAGTTCAACCTCCTCACTCACAGATCTGGAAACTGAGGCCCAGGGGAAGGGAAGAGGCTTCCCTGAGGCCGGTTAGGGCCGGAAGCATGGTGCAGGGAAGGGCTGAAGTCTTTGTGCCCTGCTCCATCTGGCAGCTCCAGGAGTCATCTCCCAGGGAGCAGTGAGGACCACAGCCAGCAGGTGCTCCTGTCCACCCAGGGGTGGCCTCCTGCAAGGTTGGGGGATTTCAGGGGACAGGGCTTATCTGGGCTCAGGAGGGTGGGTCGGATTGGAGAGGGATAGGTCCGAGCTGTGTCCAGATGGCAGGCGTGCAGGTGACATAACCAAGGGCGCCCAGAGTGCAGAACCAGGACTCTGGGTCCCTGGTCCCCGTGATTGCTGACTTGCTTCAGGGCCTGGGTGATTCCTTCTACCTTTCGAGCCATCTGTAAATTCTGAGCTCTGCAAACTACTTCCAGCCAAAACTGTGCCTGGAAACCCAGATGAACTAATGGCCCGTGGGACACCTTTGTACTGCCCAACAAAAAGGGACATGGAGACCAGTGACTATGTTCTCAGGCCCAGCAATGAACCCTCACGGCCCTCAGTCCATCCTGTCCCTGACCTCCAGCTCCAACACAGGGCACCTGTGGCAGAGCCAATCCCACCTCTGACACCAGAATGCCTACAGCCTGCCCCTCCCCTACTCTTCCAGGGCATGACCTTTGACCTTCCCCATTTCTCCCTTGCAGCCCCCTCAACCCCCTCCAGAGCTACCTAAACGTCATGGCCACTAGCCACAGTAAGGGCAGGCCTGGGGCGCCGGGTGAGCCGGGGAGGGGCCGGGACCGTTACCTCCAGGTCTCCCTTGGTAATGGACTCTTCCTCCACACGGAACTGCAAGTCCTCCACCTTCCTGTGGGGAGAGAGAGAGGGGCTGACCAGCCTCGCCCACAGAGGTGGGCTTTGCAAAGGGACCACCAGGATCCAGCTTGGCAAGAGTCCCGCGCAGCAGGGACTGGCCCAAGGTCCTGTGGCTGAGGAGGGCAGAGCTTTCTACAGGCCTCCGGAGACACCCTCCCCACCTCCCACCGTGCATGGTGGACTGAACCCGCCTTCCTCCCAGGGTGGCTTATGGGGACGCGTGGATTAAAGAGGTCCTGACAACTTTTTCATCGCTGCTGGGAGCAGACGCTGCCACAAGAACCCGTCAGGAAGGAAGGAGCGGGAAGAGGACAGTGACTTCCTCCCCACAGACTCTGCTCTCACCCACAAGCCTCAAAATCTCCATTTCCTGGGCTGCTCCCAGATATGGAACCCCCTCCCCAAGGCCCTGCTGTAGGAACTCAGGGACGCACGCTTCCCCACACGTGCCCAGAGGGCACAGGGGAAACAAAGGCCCAGCTCCTACTACAGGTTACAAACTGCTCAAAAGCATACCAGCAAGGCACCAAAGCCCAGAGAGGGCAAGCAACCTGCCCAAGGTCACACAGCAAGCGCTGGGCAATGCTGGGGTCTTAGTGAACACCACCCCCACGAGGCCGTCAATATCTGTTTTGGTTTGTTGCATCGGGTGTGTCACCATGGAAACCAGATGTGTGGGCCCCCACGAGCGCGCAGGCAGATATAAATAAACCCTCATCTCCCTGAGCTAGACAGTAACAACAGCCTGTAGAGTCCACGCCTGGGCTGAACGCCCAGAACGCAGATGCCGGTGGGGGTGCTGAGGTTGGGGGTGCCAGCAGCATGGACGAGGGGAGGGATATATATATATATATACACGCATCTACACCATCCCAGAGGCAAGGATGGATTCTTGAGCCATAAGGTCCCTCCGTCCACTGTCACCTACTCATTCCACTGGGATCAGAACAAACCCTGAGTCTTCGGTTGGGGCTGGTGAGGAGGTGGGTCGTGTAGCATCTTTCTGTGGGTCCCCTTGCCACCCTCCTGTCCTTGACGATGGCCGAGGGCTCACATGGTGGTGGCAGTGGGGCAGGAGGAGGCCTCTGCCTCATCCCTGGAGCCATCAAGGAGCAGATAAAATGTGTCCCCCAGCTGCCACTGTGACAGGACAGAAAGGACCAGATTCCCAACAGGTCCTTTCCTGTGTTGGGTCTCAGTTCTCCCATCTGTGACAGAGATGTCCCCCATCTGATTGCCAGATAGAAAGACAAGCCCATAAAGCATCCACGGCAGGGCTGGTACCGCACACGAGACATTCCAAGTGTCCCCTGGCTGCTCTTTCTTGGGGCCTCAGTTTCCTGACATGTGACATGGGTACAAAGCCCAGGACCAGAGCTGTAGGCTCCATGCGTGGGACCTGGCCTGGGCGTGCTCTGCAGCCGTGGACTGGTCACTCACAGTGTGGGGCTGGGACACCAAGCCTTCCTCCTGGTCCGTGGCTTTCCAGGAACACCCCTGGGGGGGGTCCCCGTATGATAAGCCCCTGCACAGGTGCAGGAACGGTGAACGCTACGTGATGTACACGTGTGGAGCTCCCGTATGCTGAGGGGTTGACTCTGGTTATCTCATGAGTCCTTCATCAGACTGCAGACTGTCACCCTACCCTGCAGATCGGAGGACCAAGGTCCACAGACTGGGTCACTAGTGAGGGTGATGATGCCAGTAAGGAGGACAGAGGCAGGACTGGAACTAGGGGCCGAGATTCCTCAGCCTGCCCTCGTAATTACAGCTCAGGGACAATGCTGCCTGTCCAGCCCGGTCTGAGGACGCCCAGCACGCACCTCCTCTCCTCCTCCAGCTGGTTGGACAGGTCCACCTTCTCCTTCCTCACGCTTTCCACCAGCAGCCGGGCCCGCTGCAGCTTCTCCTCCGCCTCTGCAACATACTGGCCCCCAGCGAGGGCCAGGCAGGGTCAGGTCAGGGCTGGCCTCCTCCCAGGGCCTGGGGCCAGGTGGGCAGGACAGAGGCAGGGAGGTAAGGGGGTGCACCTGGAGCCTCAGCCACCCTGATTCCTTGCCAGCCCCATCTGGGCACAGACAGTGGCCCAGACACGAGGGCAGAGGGCCCAGCTGTCCTCAAGGAAGGCAGAGGGGCCAGGCACCAGTGGCTCATGCCTGTAATCCTAGCTGCTTGGGAGGCTGAGATCAGGAGGATTGAGGTTTGAGGCCAGCCTGGGCAAATAGTTCACAAGAACCCAGTCTCCAAAATAACCAGAGCAAAACGGACTGGAGGTGGGGCTCAAGCAAGAGAGCGCCTGCTTTGCAAGCATGAAGCCCTGAGTTCAAACTCCAGTGCCACCAAAACAAGCTTAAAAAGGCACAGGAGGCCCTGTCCCTGGGCCAAGATGCCCCCAAGAGCAACTGCCCTGACACCTGTATTCCCCAAACCATAAGGACCGAAAACATGTCTTGCGAAAGCCACTCGCACAGCAAACTTGGCTTTATGACTTTCTTTTTTGGAGGTGCTGGCGTTGCTTACAAGTGCTAGGTAAGTGCTCCAACCACTGACCCCAGTGACCTTGGCCGTATTCATCCTAGCACACAGGGAGGGGCCCCACGTGGGTCCATGGGTCCAGGAGAGGGCTCTCAGTCAAGAGGCAAACACCAGAGGAAAGAACCCCAAGCAGTAGACCCTAGGCGTGGAGGTAAGAGGTCCCGCCCCTGAAACCTGTGGGCTGGCTCTGGAAAGTGGGGTGCTTGCTAACAGACACCTCAGTATCTCTCTGCACACCCAGGTTCCCACCCCATGTGCCCCGCCTGTCACCCACCTGCTCGTGCTGCGCCTTGAGCAAGGCAATTTCCTTCTCCACCTCGCAGATGTGGCTGGTGGCTTTGGCCACCTCGGCCCTCTCCAGGTCCCGCTCGGCCAGCAGCTGCTCGATGTGCTGCTGTTTCTCCTTCAATGCCTCCTGCAGGGCCGTGGTGCCCGAGATCTTGCGGGCGTAGCGTGAAGACGTCTCTGTGAGCTGCCGAGGGGGGCAGGTGGATGGACGGGCTCAGGACTCAGTGATCTGCAGTGCTCCCTGTGCCCCACCCACGGTGACCCAGCAGGTGCCCTGGATGCCCTGACACTCCCACCTCACCCCAGTGGGAATGGGATGGATGAAATTTAGGGATAACTTCCCCTTCCTGAGGAGTCATCCCCTGACAGTCAGAACACCAGGGGTTCCACTCATGATGGGTTCTCTCACCCTAGGCTGAGCTGGACAGCCTTCTGCCCGGCCCCACCTCTTCTCCCATCACCTAGGGTCCCTTGCCAGCCTTTCTGAACCCCATACCCTGTCTCAACACGACCCTTCTTAACTCCCAGGGAAGGAAGTTTCAAGTCAGTAACATAAGCATATCAGTAAATGTAAATGGGACAATTTTCCTATTAAAAGATATTCTCTCTCTCTCTCTCCCTCCTTTGTCTCTCTCTCTCTCTCTCTCTCTCTCTCTCTCTCTCTCTCTCTCTCGGATCCCAAGTCCACCCCATATACACACCAGAGTAACTCCCTCCCCTCTCCCCAGTCCCACCCTTACCAGGCCACTGCGGCTGGGCCGGCCCCCCACGGAGGAGGCCACAGAGCTCACAGAGCTGATGGAGGAGCTGCTGGGGCTGTGTGTCAGGGCTGAGACACCCATGGCCATCCGTTTGGTCTTCTTGGCCTTGGCAGGGCTGGTGGATGGGAATCCAATTCGGATCACCTTGTGGATGGGTGCGAAGAGACCAAACTTGGGTGGGCACTGGAAGTACCTGGGGGAGTAGGAGAGACTTACACTGCTACTGCGGCCCAGGGCCTCCCCTGCGTCCCTTACCACTGAGGACCCAGCAGAGACAGAGGCACCTCCTCCCAAGGGGGAAATCTTCCAGATGGGAGCCTCGGAAAGGGAACAGAGGGGAGCAGAGGTGAGGGGTATGAGCCCCTTGTGCAAATGTTCACTTCAACCCTCCGACACCACCTGTGTTCACAGATGAGGAAATTTACACTGAGAGGTGAACGAACTTGCTCATTGTCACACAGCTGGTTTAGTGGCAAACCTGGGACCAGAGCCCCTAGCCCACTGAGATTCAAAGCCCCCTACTGTGAACTGTTTGGAGCTCCCTCTCCTCCTTCCCTTTTCCTCCCTCCCTCCTTCTCTTCCTCCTCCCTATCTTCCTCCCCTGCTTCTTCCTCCCTCCTCCTCTTCTCCCTCTCCTTCCTCTCTTCCTCCTCCCTCTTCCCTCTTCCCTCCCACTTCCTCTTCCTCCCCTTCCTCTCTCTCCCTCTCCTCCCCCTCCCTGTATTCATGGCTGCTGTAGGTCTGCCCCCAAAACCAGAAACACCATCAGGTCTCTGAGCATGGAGCTTTCTGCACAAAGAAGCAAAAGCTTGAGGAATTCTGAGGAGGACACCATGGAATGGGCTGGGGGCCACTGCCCAACCGACCTCTCAAATCCTGAAATAGGAGTGAAGTGGGAGAAACTCCCACCCCCCCGCCCCGAAAATAGGAGACAGCATGTTGTCATGGAAACCCCATACTGTTCAGCTCTCAGTCTCTCTGGTTACAGGTTGCACACTGGACCACGAGTACCGGTCCTCTCCAGTTTCTGACTGACACTGAGAGACTACCACCCACGGCCCCTCGCTTACCCTGCCTCCAGATCTTTGCAGTCTGTCCCTCTCCCTGCAGGCCCTCCTCCAGCCTCCTCCATAAGCAAACTGTGCCTCCTGCAAAACCTGGGTCCTGCCTGGATCTTCCTGAGCCACAGTGACTGTGCCTCAGGATCCAGCCCAGGGATAGCCAGCTTGGGCACCCAAGGTCACCTCATCTCACCCATGACATTGCTTATGGGGCCCCTACTTCCATTCCCCAGCAAGTTCCAGACAGCCCAGCTCTTCCTCTGCCCTGATTCCCTTTCATCAGAGGTGGCAGGACAGAGGCAGCCCTTTTGTGCTTTGCAGTGCCTGCCTTGAGCTGTAACATTGGGCACAGTCTGGTGACATCACATGTCACCCAGGGCACCCCTAGGAGGTAGGGACCACTGCCTCTCCCTCTCAGTCATGTGTGGCACTGAGCAGGGAACAAGGGGATGGTGCTCTCCTGGTGTGTGAGGGACTAAGTGATATTGAGCAGTGACCTCTCTGGCCTGTTCTCTCACCCATCAAATGAGATGATCCCCCCGCCACCTTGGTAGATGCTAAGAAGAGGATCACCTGCATCACTGTGACAGGCATACCATGCATGCTCCAAGCTGCCTTCCTCCACGGCCCCACTCCCCACTCCCATCCTTTCCCACACCGCATACCTGGTGCCGGCCACAGCCCCATCGTTCTTCCCAAGGGGCTCGTCCAGCTCCACGCCACACCATTCACCCTTGGCAAAGTCTGTCTCCCCCACATACCGAACCACGCCAGTCTTCGTGCCACCAACCTGTTGACACAGGACAGACTCAGGTACGGAACACAAGGGCAGAGGTGGAGATGGTGTGTGGCACTCAGGTGCCAGGGGTCCCATCCCTCCCTTCCACTATACAGGGCATGGGGGAGGCTGGGCGAGGGGGGTGGAGGTGGGGAAAGGGAGCCATCCAAGGACACCGGGGAGGGGCACAGGTTCCAGTGCCTCCGCAGAGCTGGGCTGTCACATCCAAGAACACAGGCTTTGGAGACATATAGACTGTATTCAAACTCTGCCACTTACAAGCTGGGGTTTGAACTCAGGGCCTCGAGCTTGCTAGGCAGGTGCTCTACCACTTAAGACACTCCACCAGCCCTTCAGATAGGGTTTCACACTTTTGCCCTGGACGGCCTCAAATGGCGATCCTCCTACCTCTGCCTCCTGAGTAGCTGAGATTACAGGTGTCCACCACCAAGGTTGATCAATACCTTCATTCTTTTTTGTTTTGTTTTGTTTATTTTGCTGTACTGGGGTTTGAACTCAGGGCCTCACATTTGGTAAGCATGTGCTCTATCACTTGAGCTATGCCCCCAATCCATCAACACCTTCATTTCTTAAGAATTTGGCTGAAGGTTGGCATGGTGACACACACCTGTAACACCAGTTATTAGGAGGCAGAGATAAAAAGATCTTGAATTTGAGGCCAATCCCAGGTAAAGGTAGTGAAGCACTGTCTAAAACAACAGGTGGGCATGGTGGCTCCCGCCTGTAATCCCAGCTACTCAGGAGGCAGAGATCAGGAGGAGCACAGTTTGAAGCCATCCCAGGCAAATAGCTGGAGAGACCTTATCTCAGAAAAAAAATCCATCACAAAAAGAGGGCTGGTGGAGTGACTCAAGGTGTAGACCCTGAGTTCAAACTCGGAGTGGGGGGAACCCTTCTCAGTGCTGCTGAAAAGTTCAAAACTGTCTGGAATCCCAGCCCTGTATCCAAGACCCATTTCTCCATGTCTCTGCCCTCTGGGAACACCTTCGCCTACACCACGTTCTGTGTTTTCTGACAGGGTGTTCTGCTGTGGGCCCCCTTTCATCTCCCACATGGGCTCCATGGACTGGATCCTGTTGCTCGGTTCTGAGGCATATCTCAGATGACTTCTGGGATCTCCTGCCCTCCTTCTCCTCGGTTCAGTCCTTCTGAGACCACGACCATTTGGATGTTGGATCTACTGAACAAATGCTCTAATGTACTCCTCTTCAGCTGGGCATGGTGGGGCACACCTGTAATCCCAGCTAACTGGGAGGTGTAGGCAGGAGGCTCACAGTCCAAGGCTGGCCCCAGGCAAAAACTCAAAAAAAACAACTAAAGCAAAAAGGCCTAAGTGTAGAATGAGAGGCCAAGTTCAAACCCTAGTACCACAAAAAAAGAATATTCTGTATCTCTCTCCCATCTGTCTTTCCTGAGCGATTCCCCTCACTTTATCTTCTAACAGTTCTGGGGACTTTCTTATTCCTGTGATCACATTTTTTCACTTCCCAGAGACTTTCAGCTTGCTGAATATTCATTTGCATATAAGTATTCACACACATGAATATTCATAGTCCTATATTCAGAGGCATTCTGTCATATTTAATGCTTGTCCTCTTTTCTCAGAGGACCAGCCATTTTCCCCAGGGAAGGTTCTGGTAGTCTCCACTGTGCAGCCTGCAGTGCCAGCCACCAGTGTTCAGGGACACGAGTGAGGAAGAGGCGAGTGGGGACGGATCGCAGCCTTCAGAGCACAGGTGGTCGCTCTGTCCTCCTTCCCCATCCCACCCGCCTGGGATTCCTTCATCCAGAAGTTCCATCTGACCGTGTTGGGGGAAAACTGTCCATCCCAACACTGGCAGCGGGACAGTCACCAGGCAGAGGTGGACAGAGGCAGGGTAACCCCACATCCATGGCCATGTGGCCAGTTCCTGACTCTGTGATGATCACCAGTTCCTGTCTTCCCTGCTGCTGCTCTGACCTTGGCTTTGGTGAATTTCCAGCCGTGTTGCTCTGTGTATTGCAAACAGTATTCACTGCCCTAAAATCCTCCGCGCTACCTGTCCACTCTCTTCCCCTCCCCGCAAGCCCTGGCACCCACTGATTTTTGTTGTTGTTTGTTTTCAGACAGGGTCTTGCTCTGAAGCTCAGGCTGGCCTTGAACTCACAATCCTCCTGCCTCAGCCTCCCAGGTGGCTGGGATTTCAGTTGGGAACCACCACACCTGGCTTATTTATTGAGATGGGGATCTCCCTAACATTTTGGCTTCGAACCAGGATCCTCCCAATCTCTGCCTCCTGAGTAGCTAGGACTACAGGCGTGAGCCACCATGCCTGGCCACTGATCTTTTCACTGTGCCCTAATTTTGTCTCTTGCAGAATGTCATACCGCTGGAATACAACAGGCGACCTCTCCAGCTTTTGGTGTCTATCACTTGGCCATGCCCATTTAAGGGTGCTCTGTGCCTTAATGGTTCTTTTTCTCACTGAGGATATTCCATATGTGACACACCGGTCTATCCCTCCAACTCCTGAAGTTCACCTGGGTTATTTGGTTGTTTTTTGGACAATGATAAATAAAGCCACTAAAAACACATTTTTGTGTGGACAGAACTTTTCAGCTGTTTTGGGTGAACACCCAGGAATGTGACTTCTGGGCCACATGGTTTAAACGTTTCCTTTTAGAAGAAAATGACAAACTGTCTTCCAAAGCACCTGTGCCAGCACTGGACGTGGTGTGGCACGCCTGTAAACCCAGCACTTGGGAGGCTGGGGCAGGAGGATCGTGAGTTCAAGGCTAGCCTGGGCTTCAGAGTGAGACCCCATCTCAAAAAATAACAGCATCAAGACGCTGTGCATCTCACAAGCAGGCAAAGAGTCTGTGCTGCTCCCACTTGCCCAGAGTCACTTGTGCTGGGTGTTAGCCCGACATCTAGTGAGCCCGTCACTGGGTCCTCAGTCCTCCCCTTCTCCATCACCTGGGGTTTATTCGTGGGATTCCAGCCCCTCCAGGCCTGGGCAATATACCCTCCATATCTCAGTTCTCTTAATCCCTTTTTAAATTTTTTTAAATTGTTTTGGTGGTGCTGGGGTTTGAACTCAGATTCTCAAGCCACACCTGCAGCCCTAGACCTCAGTTCTCAAAATGCAACATGGCGGGCAGGTTGAATTCTCCTGTTTCTGAGAAAGTCTACCTAGTGACTTAATGACCACACCCACCCCTGCCGGGGACCTGACCACAGACAGAGACAGCAGGCAGCTCGGGGAATCTCCCAAGTGCTTGGAACCTTAGCTGCCTGTGGGGTGAGCGTTCCTGTCCCCTGGGGCTGCTGGGAGGGTAAGATGAGCTTGGAGCAGCTTATGCACCAGCTGCGGGGTGGGGAGGAAACAGGGTGGCAGGGGAGACTGGCTGGGGGGCAGAGGCTTAGACCACGTTCAGCGAGGTGGGGAAACCAAAGTAAGCACCCTCCCTTGGTGAGGCACCTGGAAATGTCCAGTCTATGACCCTGAGAGATGCATGGGGCCCCACACTGAAGACACCAGGATAGTGAGTCATGGGACATTCTGGGGAGGGTGTCCCCAGTACAGGAATCAGCATGGCATGGCAAGCTGTTTGTTGAAGGAAAACAAAAAAAGCTGCCCAACACTGGTGGCTCACGCCTGTCTGTAATCCTAGCTACTCAGGAGGCAGACAGCAGGAGGATCATGGTTTTAAGCCAGCCAGGGCAAGTAGTTCACAAGACCCTATCTCAAAAAACCAAACACAAAAAAGAGCTGGTGGAGTGGCTGAAGGTGTAGGCCCTGAGTTCAAACCCCCAGTACAGCAAAAAAAAAAAAAGCCACCATGTCCAAGAGCAGCCAGGAGGGAGGAGAGAAAAGGGTCAGATAGGGAGGCAGCAGATGACACAGGGGACGTGGGGAGGAGAGGGGGTCACCTGCAGGGAGTGACAGGCTATGAGTGGGGTCAGCAGACCGAGGATGAGGTGGCTCCAGGGACCAGGGAGAGAAGTCATGGTGGAGGTAGTGGGAGGCAGATGGACCTGGATATATTTGAGGGTCAGCAGCCGGTCTCTGGTATGGGAGGAGAGAAAAGAAGACCAGCAAGGCTGATCCCCAGGTTCCAGGTCTGGTCGGCTGGATGTGCGGTGATGTCATTCACTAACAGCTCAGGGATGGAGGTAGGTGAACAATTAATAATGGAGTCCAATTCTGGGGCTGCACTGTCCCCACAAAAATATACCAAAGTCCTGATGTTCAGCACCGTGAACGCGACCTTCTTTGGAAAGAGGGTCTTTGTTGATGTAACCGAGGAGAAATGAGGTCATTAGGGTGGCTCTGATCCCACAGGACTGGTGTCATGGTTAAAAGAAAAAGTGTGTGACGGTGAACGACTGTAATCCCAGCAACTTGAGAAGTGGAGGTGGGAGGATCAAGGTCCAAGACTGACCTGGGCAAAAGTGTGAGGCCCTATCTGAAAAACAAACTAAAAGCAGTGGGTGCCTGTAATCCCAGCTCCTCAGGAGGCAGAGATCAGGAGGATCGTGGTTCGAAGCCAGCCTGGGCAAATAGTTTGTGAGACCCTATCTTGAAAATACCTAACACAGAAAAGGGCTGGTGGAGTGGCTCAAGGTTTAGGCCCTGAGTTCAAACCCCAGTACTGCAGAAGAACAACAACAAGAAAAAAAACAACCTCAAAGAAACAGGACTGGGGTGGGGCTCAAGTAGCAGAGTGCTTGCCTAGCAAAAGGGAGGCCCTGAGTTCAAACCCAAGCACTGCCAACAACAAAACAAGACGAAAGGCAAAGACAGGCACAGAAGGAAGATGGCCTCTGAAGATGGAGCCAGGGAAGAACACAGCTGCAAGAACCACCGAGACTTGCTGGCCAACAGCAAAGCTGAGAAAAAGCCTGGAGCTGATCCTTCCCCACAGCCTGCAAAGAGCTCGGCCTTCCTGACACCTTGACCTTGCGCCTCTCAGCTCTCAAACAGGGATGGGATAAATTTCTAGTGTTT